AACTAAAACTTTCAAGTAATTTTGAACTTAATTAATTAATAACTCTGTCAATACTTGATCAGCGAGTTTTTTATTGCATAGGCATACCACCGAATGTGTTCTCTACAAACTGGTCAAATTTGAGGGCATGTTTGGGGAGAAAACAGGAACCGAAAATTTTATTGTTACGGGATCAATGGGACAGAGACTAAAAGTGTTTCAGCGTGGATATCTCTACTCACCACTATGCAGTTTGATTGAAGTGATATTAAAGCCACTTATCTGAATTTCAGTATTATGGCAATGACAGATATGACCCGGTGCTTCGTCAATAGAAGTGCATTGCCACCGGTATTTTCGCACGATCCCTCCGTCCGCTACAAAAATTGAAAACGGCTGAAATTGGTTTACGGTAAATGTGTCGAACTTTCCACACAACTTGAAGTATGATAATTTTTCCCCGTGACATATGTGAATAAGGTATAAGCTGTTGGGAGTGGCAGCCATGACAATGAATGGGATACCGGACTGTGTGGGTATTTCTTCTTCAAATGTTATCAAGTCTCTGGTTGGGTGTACGATATGCGTTATCGGAGTGTCTAGGCGTGGCTCAAATCGTACTATCGATACTCGTAACCACTCTTGATCATCAAAATGCACCGGCGGTTCGAGATCTGTTTTATCATTTAGTGATCCTTCTTCGAATTCTGCTGTTAACAATAGTATCTTTGTTAACTCAATGAGCATTAGACATGGTTGTTCGGATGTGTTTGGCTTACAGTGAAATGTACAAACTAAATAAGGTGGCATTAGAGACAGTAAATCAAGGTCTTTGCCAACGGATACATGACCCCAATTACGTAATAGTAGAGTTTTATTAAAACCATAAATATGAATTGTTCCATCGGTTAAATATGCAACAATGATTTTACCTCGGATGAAATTCCAACATTCTGATACTAATATTATTTTAGCTGTTGCACGTAAATCAACACGCTCGACGAGTACGTTATCTTTAAAATTCCAACATTCAAAATAATTCGCGTTGTTGTCAGCAAAAACAACTAGTGACTCTCCAATACAATTAACAGTCAGCCAATCCGGCCCGTTGGCATCTACTGTAAATCTTTCAAATAGGATCTGACTGTCAGTAGATACGACACAGAGATAATGATTCGAATAAACAAGATAATTCAAGTAGGGTCGACGCATCAATATGCTCTTTGATGAGTCATACAGTATAAAAAAAGATAAATATTGTTCGTTGATAGTTGGCAGTGTAATCTCGGTTTCTGTTGTATGTCCTAAATAACACAAAGCGAGGCATTTCCGATGTCTAACTTTACAGGGGGCAGTTTTGAGTTATCAAAACCAGCACACACTTGCTATAAAATGCACACAAAGCCGTACATAGCATAACACCTTATATTGGTGGGTGGTCAGTACTATTTAAGATTGCGATCCTTACACATATCTCAGAAAAACAAAGACTTGTCTTGCAAATTCAGTTCTCAACATTAATGGCATTAACAATCAGTTTCATGAAGCATTTAGTCCTCTATTCAACTTTTTCAATTTTTCACCGAGAGTCCGACCTGATCCACATTGGAAGTCTTCTAGTAGTCTCCTCAACCATAAGACACTCAATTGCTCACAGTTTCTATTCTCTATAAAATAACACCTGTAATCAGTTATTAGATGGCTTACCGCTATCATTAAGAATTGTGATTTTGTCTGTCAACAGTGCAATTTTCAGATTCAGTTTTTTGGAAGTACCGATGTTAACCAGCTGCAGCTCATTTATCATAGTCATGTTTTTGCTCTTCACTACATAGATCAGACCAGTTCGAGGATCAGGTAATTGATAGTAGGGCGATAGTAAAGCACAATGAGCTGGACTAAATTTGTCACATGTATCGATTAAACGAGTGATGAAATGGTTTGTTCCGTACCACGGTGTTAAACGTGAGCATATTTCAAATGCAAAATTGTCGGGATATTCACTAAAAAATGCATACCCAAGCTGCTGATAAATCATCATAAGAGTATTTGCTGCAGACTCCGATTCACGCAGTTGTTCCGTGGCTTGTGGACTGTGCGCAATAGAGATTGTCAGCATCATTAAATAATGTTCGATAGCAGCGGTATCAGTGCAGATATAGGCAGCATGCATCCATTGATAATTATAAATCATTTCTAGTGAAATAATTAAATTTTTTTCATTGGGTGAAAGTTTTTTCAAGAAATGCGGTAGTTGTTTCAGTTTTCGCCTGTTATATTGGATCACACCATCTGAGTCACAGAACTCGGTTGCCTGAGACATTACAAGGCGATCAGCTTCTACCACGTTGCTTTGAAGTCCGTACTTTTTCCGTAGTTGATCGTTAATACAAAATTCCTTTTTTCTATCTTTAAACTTATCCAAATACAGATAGATAATATTTCTGATAACCTCTGGATCGAATTCTTGACTTAGTGAATAACCTTTACTGGTTAGCTGAACTAGGCTTGGCGATCCATATTCTGATTTTATTGTTGCACGAAACTTCCGATAAAACCTGCAACATACAGATGACAGTAAGAAACCTAAAACGAGCATCCGTTACGCCAGCCACCCCTGATGTTATCGGTCACTTCATCTCTGTCTTAGAGTGACGACCGAGGTCTCACGCTTAGCCGATCTGATCGAAAAGCTGAATCTTTCGTTAAAGTAAAAATTCTAGATTTCCTCTCAATGCATCTCAACTTAACTGGCTGCTTTGTCATCCAGGTGGAGTTCGACGTACTTACCATTTCATTATGACAACACCATCTCCTCTACTTTCAATCACATATTCTTCTAGATCATTCCTGAGTCGTGTCCATAGCAACGGTGGAATACGTTTAACAGGAGGCAGAAAGTACTCAAAAACACTTTCAAGCACTTGATCATCGAGACTTAACAAATCTTCTAACTCAGTTTGCGTAATACCATTTTTAAATGCTGAAATGTAGGATAGTGCACGACTGAAAAAAACCGAATTATGAATTGTCTGCATACGACGAAGTATAAGTACAATACAGTCATTAACATCTTTTATCTCGAACAATGCCTCATCAAGCTTATCGTAGGAATGCCATTTGATAATTAAATCAAAAATAAGTTTTACAAATAATGGCGACATTCGCTGATGTTTTTCAAGAAATAACTGTAAAAAGTTTCGTTGTTCCATTGTAATTGCACGTTTTTCCTCTTTTAACCAGCTGTTATAAATCATCCATATAATATCGAGCTGTAAAGGCGGAATGTTAATGTAAGCAACTTTCGAAGTCATATCACTATGAATAAAAGCTTGCATACGTTTACTTATCTGTCTTTCATATTCGGCTTCATCCACATCTTTGTTATTCTTGATCTGGTCGACTAACGATAGAAAAAAAGACGAAAGTTATGATAGTGGTATGCTCAAGAGTTGCTAGAATATAGATGTCTTCCTATAACCGATTTTATGAAAAAGAAGTAACTCACGCAGGTTTTGAACTAAGTATCGATAGAGATGCAGAACGGGATCAGCGCCTATGTGCATACAAAAAAAGCCAAAGCTGGCTGAACGAAGTGTCCGTACGAGTATAAAAATACACCGAATACAGATCCTCTACAAAATGTCCGAAGGCTCTGGCTTTACTATACTACTATAATGAACAGTTTTTTGCAGGTTAGGAGACCTTATTTCTGTGGAAGATAACACCACAAAGTATGTGTGTCATTTCTCGCCCTTTCACGAGCTAATCTCCATCGCTGAATAAAAGTCCACGTTAGTTAAAGGATTTTCTGGAACGTTCTTGAGGAATTAACGGTTCTTGTAAAATCGGACAGACTTAAATAATTAACTTCGGTTTTTTGCAGCCAATTCCTGAGAGAACCAATGCAGTTTCTACTGATTCGTGAAACTTTGGAAACGTTATGACAAAACTTTCCTTCAACAGAAGGTCACACTCTAATTTGTAACCTGCCGAACAGAATAAAAGTCGATCGGGATCTATGCTGGAGTAAAATTCATAGCAACGTCGATCAAAGTATCGCATGTCCTGGTACCTATAAACCACTTCTCATGCTCTTTTTCCGTTGCAAAGCTGTTTCTCACTACCTTGCTGATACTGTGATCGTACTACTTACGCGTCCTGTACTGAATTCTCGATACAGATCAAGAATAACAAAGATGTGGATGAAGCCGAATATGAAAGACAGATAAGTAAACGTATGCAAGCTTTTATTCATAGTGATATGACTTCGAAAGTTGCTTACATTAACATTCCGCCTTTAC